GCGGGATGGGAAGACAGACTGACTTATTCCACTGACTCCAATGCAGAGCAGGTCCGTTGTTGAAACAGACATATGTCACGGTGACCAACAAAAAAAAAAAAAAAAAAAAAAAAAAAAGTATGGCAAATTTTCCATCAGCTTAAGTTTGCATATTTTTTCAAAGCTTCGTCAGCAAATGTTTAAAGTTACACTGCATCGTATTTGTCAACATGACGATGTTGATCAGGATTTGGCGTTCACCAACAAACAAATCTGTCCCGCAAAAATTATGTGGACACAATAACAGTGGCCATTCCCCACAATGAACAAACAAAACGAAATATGCGAAAACGAGGTAAAAACGTCCTTGTTATGATTTAGTGATGTGCAGGCGGAAGTGAGTTAACGCCCATAGCCCCATGCGAGGCCGCACAGTAACACCTCCCAACGCAACATGTTTTAGGTCAGGGGAGTGGCGTGAGGCCGAGCGCGTGTGCGCCTACGTTACATTGCTTTACCTCACTCAATCTCTTATTACTCCCCGTGCATTATTTTTTGTAATGATCATTATTTCCCGGCATTCCCGCGCAGTCCGAGCCAGCCGAGGCACTCTCCGCTACGCGCGCGCCAGCTCGCAGCTCCACGCCAGACGACGACTGGCATCGAAAGTTTTATTGGCGTCTTTCAGCGAGATGCAGCGTCGTCGTGCAAGCAGGAGCAAAAGCCGATGGGCTTGTCTCCGAGAGGCAAGCCTCGGTGTCTCTGCTTCGCGGTGATGTAGTTGCGGTGTAGTTGCCAATGAAGAGAGAAAGAGAATGAACAGTGAGCACGTGTGTGAGTAAAAGAGAGGCATGGTGGGATGGTGCAGTAATATGCAGCGGCACTGCCTCGGGCACTGCCCTATGACCAGTAACATGTAGCAAGTAATAATGTATGGTCGTCTGCCCGATGCCCACCACCGGCCACCCTTGTCCTCCACCTCCCCCTCGCCACACACCATCCACCTCATCCTCCGCGATGTCCCCGCGACGCGAGGTCGCACACAAATCCAGGTCCTCGTCGGTGCACAGAAACCGCAGTAGCATCAGCAGTAGTAGCAGCAGCAGCGGCAGCGGCAGCTGCGCGGTGCCACCGTGCCATACGGTACGGGGGCTCTTGTCGTACACCCCCCGGCCTATGACCCGATCAGCTGGCGGCTCTGTGCGGCCACAAGGCGCTCAGCCGCGCTCAGCCGCGCTCAGCCGCGCTCAGCACCGTGGGAGCCGAGGGGGCTCGCCGCGGGGCGGCGGGGCGCCTTGCGGTGACTTGCACGCCGCTCGCTCTGACACAAGCGCGGCCGCCGATTTAATAATTGGCCGACGCGGTGGCGTGGCGTGGCGTGCTGAGGCAGGGCGGGGCAGGGCGTGGCGGGGCCTGGCGTGGTGGGTGGCGGCAGTCGCCATCAGGCGGTATGACTCTCACTACTCGCCACGCCACCGCCGGGGCAGATGCAGCAGCACGCCCCGCCCCGCCCCGCCCCACCCTTCCCCCTTGCGCAATAGCCCGCTCAATCGAAGCCCGCTGCGCCCACTGGTCTTTGGTCTTTCTCCCTTTCCTTCCGCCAGCAGCTGCGGGGGCGACCCTCCACGACGCGCAGCAGCTCCACTCGACTGCCAACAGTTGCAAAGGTTTTTGTTGTTTTAGTCGTCGATTTTTTATCCCTCCCTCCCTCCCTCCCCCGCGTGCTCTCGCTAAAGATTTAACTTTTCTATCTTCACGAGTGACTGGCGATCACTTCATTATGGCAGCTTGTCGAGGCGCCACCGGCGGCCCAGCGGCGGCGGCGGCAGGCGCCCGGCCGGCGGCACGCCCATCGCTCTCGGGGCGGGGCGGGGCGGGGAGCGTCACGCCTCTGCGCCCCCGGCCGGAGGCGACCGGCCGACAACGCAAACAAAACTTTACCTCTTTTGTTTCCCCCGTCTCTCTCTCTCTCTGTGTCCCGACCTCCGGACCAGAGCTCTGCGCCGAGCCCTTGGTGCAGCGCCCGCGGACCCGACCGGCACCCCGCCGCTTATCAAGACCCAGCCCAGCGCGGAGAGCGGCGTCGGGAGAGCACGAGGAGAGGCGGGGAGAGAAAGACGTCATTTAAAACGCTCGTACACATACAGCACCAGCGCTACACCAGCACGACAAATGCCGAGACAGGTAGTGCGAAGACAATCGACGACGCCCACAAACTGACGCTAAAACAGGGTGTACTAACGTACTAACTCGTATACACTTTCATCTGGAGTGATTTCCTCCTCGGACGATACGGAACGAGTCCACGTCGACGTCCATACTCGACCCGCGACGAGGGCAAAAGAACCACTGCATTAAGGGCAACGATGTCCACATTAGTCGTCGTCGACGTCGTCGTCGTCGGGTCGTCGTCGACGTCGTCGTCGTCGGGTCGTCGTCGACGCGACGCCTATGGTTCCGTAACAACGCCCCCGATGCGACAAGCTGGTCGGCTGCTTCCGGAGCTGAATCCCTCCGTAACAGCCTCCACTTTACAAGTCTCGGCTATCGCTCTAACGAGGCGCAGTGTTAAAACCCGATTGCGGCAGCACCACCATAAACCACCTAGCGAGAGACGCGCGGGGATGTCCAACCACGCCGGACCACTCCGGCAGGGCGGCGCGGGCGCCACACGGACGGCAGACGATAGATATGCAAAAAAAACGCGAAAAGTTTAAATCTCTATGTCTCATTTTTTGAGGAACTCTAATGTTTGAGGAAGAGTCCTCCAATCTCGCCTCAGGTTTTGAAGAATCGTCTCAAAAAATGAGAAAAATTCCGACATTTTTTTTGGAGACTTCCTTGAAACCTAAGGAGTTTTTTTTGAATTAGGGGAGTTCCTCAAAGTTTTCCCTTTTCCCTCAAAAATGAGACTTTGTTTTTTTTACCGTCTCTCTCTCTCTCTCTCTCTCTCTCTCTCTCTCTCTCTCTCTCTCTCTCTCCCTCCCTCCCTCCGCGAAGACCGCGAAGCACCTCTAGAACGTTGTCGGTTAATTTGCGCTCCCAACAACAGCGACAAACACACACACACGAGAACCGTGCGGCGCGGCTCTTGTTACCCAACCGACGAATCCCTCCGCCATCCCCATATTTTGCGAGGAGATAACGCTCAACAAGCCGCTGCGACAACAACACTTTCCCGCGTGGTGCCGCCTTCCTCCTCTCTCTGTCTCTCTCTCCCTCTCTCTCTCTTCGACTTGTGGGAGACAGCCTGGAGAAGCGTCATTTCCGAGCCAGATAATACTTAGTAAAAGAGCGGGTGGGTGTGCGGTGGACAACGGAAATGTAATCATATTGCTTGTGGTTGCAGAGGTGGTGGTGGTGGTGGTGATGCGACGGCTGCTACAGGAGGGCCTTGTCGACGGCGGTGAGGAGGAAGAGGAGGAGGGAATGCGATGCTGCAGCTGTGACAACCCGGCATCACTTTCACTACTACTGGGTGCTGTGCTGCGCTGGGCTGCGCTGTTCCGTTGGCTAGCCGCGAGCGAGCGAGCGAGAGAGAGAGAGAGCATCTCATCTCCTAACGCGTTCTCATTTGCATCTTTTCGAGTAATGCGCTGGCGTTATGTCACGATACGGACGCAACAAGATGATAGCATAGGAAAGATGACCCTGGACATCCGGCGGCATCTCTTTTTCCTTTTCCTGTCTCGTTGTTTTTTTTTTGTTGCTGCTGAAGTTCGTCATCGCATTGATGTCGTTGTTATCGCCGTGGGCAGCCGGTCGGACCTTATGTAAATTGTATTATTATTATTACAACACCAGTAACAGAGTCGTGTAATCTCTGGAGAAGAGGCACGGACGTCCGTCCACCCATTCGTTACTTCACTCTTACATTTAATTTTGTAAGATGTGACTCTTTCATATGTTTTGCCAAGAAATTGCGTTGCAGTTGCACGCAGAATCCTTTGCAATTTATAAGGCGTTTGCCTCAGTTTTTGCAAAGATTTTCTTTGCAAGAGATTCACAGTGCAGTTTTCAGGCTACATTGGTGGCTTTGGTTACATGAGAGCAGTCTGGAAGCTGCAGCAGCCTGGACCGGAGAATCTCCCCTCTGGGCCAGGCACGCGTCCAAGAGTGGTGGGGTGGGGAGTGGTGGGGTGGAGCGCGCAGTGAATTAGATCACGTCTCCCTCTGGCTTGGTGCCGCCGCCACCTCACCTCGCTCACCTTCAGGGGGATGAACTCTTGAGAAGGAAGGACGGCCGGAAACGCACCGCGAAAAACAGACAGTGCGCCTCCCCCCGGCTCAGCAACACCCAGAAAATTGTTTCTTTGGAACAAAGAAAATTGGCCCATATTACTTTGATATAGACGTAAAGAAATGTTTTCTTTAAATCAAAGAGCCTCTTTTGATTTGAAAAAATATTTATTTTTGGATCAAAGAAGGCTTCTTTGAATCTAAGAAGGCTTCTTTGATTTAAAGAAAGAATTTCTTTAAATCTATATCAAAGAAACGATTCTCTGGGTGAATGATCAACAAGGAAAATCAGTACAGGCTTGCCGGGAATCAAAGAGAGACAGGGAGAAGAGTGAGAGAAGAAGTGAGAGTAAGTGAGTGAGTGAATGAGGCATGAGAGAGAGAGAGAGAGAGAGAGAGAGAGAGAGAGAGAGAGAGAGAGAGCAGTGATTGGGCCCGCATGTGTGTGAGACGCTGGTTGCTTCACACCCGCGAGACCGTTGCGTCTGCCTCGTCCCATACCGAGAATAAGGGATTCGGGAGGCCGTGCCGAGCCCATCACTGCACCACCGCCGTGGCTGTAGCCGGGTTGCACCACCCGGCCGACACCAAGAGGGCGCGGAGATCGGGCGCCTGTGATAAGAGCTCGACACCACCGCGCAATGTTGAATAATAGAAAATGTACACCACTTTGGAGAGATGAGGGCCCGGCGCCGCGACGTGCAACACGAACACGCGGCGCTGCTTTTCGCAGGTGTATTATATTCCTCACTATGACGCATTGTCCTCATTATGTTTTCCAGGGAGGGCGTCGCCTTGGACTTCCCCGTGCACGCACACGGGACACCCGCGAGGGCTCCCCGCCGGAGCCGCGCCCAAGGGGGACATCATTGCACCGTGAGTATACTACTATACTCTTTTAAACCGCTGGGAACGAGCCTGCATGTTGCGGCGGATTTGGGGAGTTTTCAAAGATTTTATACATAGTGGGCTCAGGAGACTTGCACGCAAGGGTGGGCCGAGCGCATGGCAGCAGCGGAACCAAAGAGCATGTCATGCAGATTGTTTTGGAAATTCGAAGTAAATTAGTGATAGTGAGAATTTTTTTAAAAAGAAATTTTTGTGGGGATCTTTAATAGGTCATATGGTTACAATTTGGTCACGCCGTTCAACGGGTGTCGGAATTAATACAAAACAAGGGGAAAAGATTTTTTTGCGCGAGCCATAAACATGCAGGTGAATTCACGTCACTGAAGGAAACAAAAATAAAAAACAACCTAGTCGTTTTAGGGACCGGCGCGATGGTCCAGGTAGATCTAGCGAGGCCCCAGGGTGGTCAGGCTGGACAAAGCGGTACTGCAAAACCGAGCGCAAAACACTGTAATCATCTCCTTGCCATCTCGCCACACGTACCGTACTTGGACTACTTGCGTATTATCTTTTCCCGCTACAGCGCAGCGCGCGCACTCTGGCGCACACTTTAGCTTAACCAAACCAACCCGCGCGCCGCTAAGGAAGGAAAAAGTAGATAAAACGGGCGGTGGTTACAACAACATTTGCAGCCGCTCGCGCGTGTTGTCATCCATAGTGGAACAAACAACAATAAGTAGCCAGGAGCCGAGCCAATCGGACAGGGAGGGTGTTTTGGCAGAGAAATCGTTGGTTCATTCGCAAGTGGAACCTTATCAAACTTTCTTGTTCATAGCTCATGAATTCCCTCCTGTACGTGCTTCGCTCATCGCTCATGCATTTTTTTTAAAGACGCCATAACATGAAGGTATTTTAGTGTGTTCCATCCTCCCTCCTTTCCAACGAGTAAAACGGGATCAGCGTTCATACACCTCCCGCCTTTTGAGCCTCCCGTGAGAAAACCAACGGGTAGGCGGGGCGGCCGGGAGTCGCTAGCAGCACCCGCGTCGCGCAGACATAACGCGGCGGGGCCTTTCTTCTCGCGACACGGACCAGTGGGTGACGAGCCGGCCGGGGAGCCGCGACGCGCAGCGCCGCCGCCGCTACCAGAGGAGCTATGATGAGGCTGCCTTTGACGGCACTCGACCGTGCTCACGTCAATAATGGCGAGGGAAAGAGATCGCGAGGGGTTCGCGTGGTGCAGGGAGCGAGCGAGAGCGAGCAAGAGAGAGAGAGAGAACAAGAGAGAGAGAGAGAGCAAGAGAGAGAGAGAGAGCAAGAGAGAGAGAGAGAAAGAGAGAGAGAGAAAGAGAGAGAGAGAGCAAGAGAGAGAGAG